CTCCATGTGAGTGCTGGTTCTAGAAGCCAATAACAGCCATAAACGCTGGGCCTCTGAACTTTATTGTAAAGTAGCTTTAATATGGCTGAGTAGGGGGCGGAGCAAGGGGGAATGGGGTAAAGGAGGAGCAGAGAGAATTTTGCTGTCAGTCTGGAACTTAAAACCTTGCCTACTAATGCAAAAGATGGCCCTGCTTTATCTTCCCAGGATTGATGGAAGTCTGCTGTACCTCATTTTCTAGTGAGATGAAGTGCAGGTGGTAAAGGTGGTAGAGGTGGTGGTGGTGGTGGTGGTGGTGATGGTGGAGGTGGTAGTGGTGGTGGTGGTGGTGGCGGTAGTGCTCTGTGAAAAAGGTTTGGTGTTTAGATTGTGTGTGGAAGGGCTTCCTGCAAATGGTCTGCCCAGCTGAACTCAAAGTCCTTTAGGAGGCCTGTTTTGCTCACATTCCTGATTGCTTCCAGGTAAACAAATCTTGTTTTTATCTCAAAGAAAGACAGAGCTCTCTAGCACTGTGACAGCCTGTTGTCACAGTTACTCACATATCATAGTCATGGTCAGAATAATGGAAGGCAATGAAATAGTAGAGGCTCATAGTCAGGCCTGGAGCAGAGAGAACAAAGCTACTGAAGAGACTTGAAGATGGAGTTGATGGCTTTGTGGGGTTTAAACTATGGTACTTTTTTTGTGATAGTGGAGTATTGAAGAGGAGGGATTGTAATGGTAGTGTGTGACAAAAGGGCCTAGTGAAACTCGGGCTGCACTAGTAGCCTATCCTAGTTTCATATATCTGATTTTGTTCCATGAGCAGTTTGTTTCTATGAGCTAAGTTTTGCTTCTGCCAAGGAGAGGTGACATCAACTTGTACTTTAGTATAAGTTTACATAGTGCCTTCCTTCCTGACTGGCAGATTCCCAGCATTTACTAGAGCACAGGGAGATGCTGTGGGATGTTCTGTATGGCAAATGTGTTGCTCTGATTGGTTAGTAAATAAAACACTGATTGGTCAGTAGTCAGGCAGGAGGCAGTATAGGCTGGACAAGGAGGAGAAGAATTCTGGGAAGTGGAAGGCTGAGTCAGAGACACTGCCAGCTGCCACCATGACTAGCAGCATGTGATGATGCTGGTAAGCCATGAGCCACATGGCAAGGTATAGATTTATAGAAATGGATTAATTTAAGATATAAGAACTGTTAGCAAGAAGCCTGCCACGGCCATACAGTTTGTAAGCAATATAAGTCTCTGTGTTTACTTGGTTGGGTCTGAGCGGCTGTGGGACTGGCGGGTGTCAGAGATTTGTCCTGACTGTGGGCCAGGCAGGAAAACTCTAGCTACACGGAGATAAGAAAAATGGAACCCACTGAACATGGACTCAGTCTACACTCACTACCCAGCTAGGAATTTTTTCTGTGCCCTCTTCTTCCTCTAAACAGTTATGAGGCTAAATGTGATTGATTACAAAACCCCCAAAAGTCTTGTTTGAAAGAAAGTCTTGTGATTTTTCTGGAAGATATCTTTAACTCCTTCATGCTCCTCAGCAAATATTTATACATCACCCCTTATCTGTGTGCACTGGTTCAGTATGGAGAGGGTAAGCATGTGTGGTGGTTTGAAAGAAAACGGCCCCCAAAGGGAATGGCACTATTAGGAAGTTGAAGTAGGTGCGGCCTTGTTGGAAGAAGTGTGTCATTGTGGGGGTGGGCTTTGAGGTCTCCTCTGTTCAAGCTATATCCACTGACACAGTTCACTTCCTGTTGCCTGTGGATCAAGATGTATGTAGCTCCTTCTCCAGCATTATATCCACCTGTATGCCTCTGTGTCCCACCATGATGGTAATGGACTAAACTTCTGGAACTGTAAGCCACTCCAATGAAATGTTTTGTTTTATAAGTTGCCATAGTCATGGTGTCTCTTCACAGCAATAGAAACCCTAACTAAGACAGCATGGAAAGAAGTGGGCATTAGGCTTATAGTGCATATTAAGAGGAGTAGGTATTCTTACAAATGGGGGGGGGGGACCACTAGTACAAGGTGGCATGAGATTGGTTTCAAATAAAGGAAAGATCCAGTGTGGTACAGGAACCTAGAGGTTTGGAGCTGAGAAAGCCTTCAGAAGCCTCCCAGGTGCTTAGCTGGGGAGAATGGGATACAGAACAGATCAGTTTTGATGAGTTTCGTAAGATGGACTGAGTAAGAACCAAACTCAACTTCTTTTCTAAATCTCTTAGGCCTGTTGTTTCTGGGGAGTTCATCTATCTTCTATTCATTTGACCCATCTCATAATCCCTGTGCTAGGATCCTAAGATTTCCAGAGAAGCAATGTGGCCTAGTGTACAGCTTTTAAAATTTTATCCATTTACAACCCCCTTTCACTAAGGAAATTTTTCTCCAACCTAGGTGTACAGGCATACAAGATAGGTATACATATGTTAAACATTTGCTAATACTAAATCATGAATAAATTTAGTCTGAAACAATTATTAGATCTACTTTATTAAAGGTGAGAGCAAATTTGCATACTAATGAGATGAATGTACTTGTTTATATTTTTATAAAGAATTAAATCTTGACTGAATATTTGATGCTGCAAAACATAGATCATTTTCAGTGATCTTCAGAGTTGAACAATATTTTAATTTTATAATCATCAGAGCTGAGAATGAAGCTATATATAGCCATATAGTATGAAATAGCAGAATTATGTTTAGGACTATTTAAGAAGTTGTTGGACATTCTGTGCTAATCCCAAGCTAAAATACACTAACTGATTTTTTTAATGAAATAACTCAGTGAATAGGTTTTAAAATCAAACACTCTAACAATCTAATCCCAAGATATATTAATTTAATGCTTAACACAATGAAGGATTATGAGAAAAATATTATTAAGACTATTTGTTTTCCATAATTATACCATTATGTTTCTGTAATACCATAACTCCTGGTATGTAAAATAAAGACACTGCAGTTCACATCAGTCAATAGTCTCTGAGCTGAGAAGCATCGTTGACACTGTATACAGTGTTAGTGTATGTAATGTAAAGGGTGCATATTGTGTGTTCAGAACAAAGGCCACAATAAGGTTGTGTGATAGATAGATATATCATGAATGAGCACTGCCAGAAACACATGAGATTCACTGCATGATGAGTCTGAATCAATTTTAGATTGTTGTGCATTCAGATACCTTTTAACGCTGCTCTTCCAGAGGTCCTGAGTTCAACTACATGGTGGCTTGTAATACATGTTCTTAACGAGCCTTTTTTGGCTAACTTTTTGCAATGGCCTGATTCAGTTGTATGATCAGAGTCTAGTGATTAAAAAGGATTAGGAGCTTGAATTCCAGCTCTGATAGTTAATGTGATCTTAAACGATTGACTTAATAATCCTGTTTCTCACTGGCAAACAGGGATGATGATGATGATGATGATGATGATGATGATGATGATGATGATAGTAATAAACAATAATAATACTGTCTAGCTTATAGAGTTCCCTGGAGGATTACACAGAATAAGTCATGTTAAGATGTTAAGCTCAGTGCTGGTTGTATATTACTCATTCATTAATCCTTACTTCTTGGGGGTATTGTAAATGCTGATGGGAAAGAGGATTTACTTTTACTTACTGTCAGTTCCAGATTTTTACTCCATTTTTCTACTCTGAAAAATTCCAGTACTGTGTGAGTTGTCACTTAGCTTATTTTCATGGCTCTTTTCCTAACTGAGTCAGTATTAAAAGCTATGGATTTCCTTCAAACCCAGCTTTGGCCCTATCTCATAATACTTGGGGATGACTGTTTTCATTTCATGTTCATCAAGGTGCTGATTTGTCTCCTCCTCTAGTTGATCAGTTTCCTTTCCATCTTCTTCACCATGCCTATAATGCAAGCAAGGAGGCCCTCATCAGAGGCTTATCAGATAAGCCACCTTATCTTGGACATTCAGCCTCTGCTTTATAAAATCCGTCGCCTCAAGCATTTTCTCCTAACAATGGAGGACAAAACTAATAGAAGACATTGGATTATTAAAGGCGTGGACTGGAATAATAAGATCATTTTCCTAATTTAGAAAGGATAAGCCAGCCAGACTCTTCAGGATGGCTGCAGAGCTGCATAAAGAATTGATGCAGGGAGACTAATAAGAAAAATCTTCATGTTATTGTAAGACAGTGATTCTCAAACCCGAGCATCCATCAGAATCCCCTGGAGGGCCTGTTAAGGCAGAGCTTGTTGGGCAGCATCCCAGAGCTTATGATTTAGTACCCTTGTAGTTGGGATCTAAGGCTTTGCATTTTTCTTGAGTTCTCAGGAGATGCTGCTGCTGCCAGTCTAGGGGCCACACTTCGAGAACCTCTTATTTGGGACAGTGATGGCACAACAGGCAGTCCTAGTGGGAAGGAGGAAGAGACCATGGGGCTTAGGAATGGAACATGGGGCAACATTTGGCTGAGAAATCAAAGACAACTACAAAGATACCAAGTTTCGGTGACTTAGCACCTATGAGACTCATAGACGCAAACTCACAAAAACCTATCAGTACGTATAGCATGTACTAGGAAAATAAATGAGGTTTCTAGTTTTTGTTTGCACTATGGCACTCAAAGCTAAAGTCTTCTTGTCTTGTCTGTGGAAGGAAAGCCTCTTGGGAGAAAGCACGGGTCTGGGTTTGGTCTCTTTTCTAGAATGCAACATTTGAGTAAAGGAAGGAAATTAAGGTATAGTGGGAGGTGGAAAAGAAAATGGAAAGACTTTACATACTCTAGACATGAAGAACATGCCTTTGCACTGTTAAGTATTGACTATGTATGGGTAACTAAGAACAAAAGACAAAGCAAAGGCATAAAACAGCAGGGACCACCCAGGGCAGCTCTGGGAGCAGATCCTGAGACAACTGGTAACAGTCTCTAAGACAGGACTTCTCAATTCCAGACTGCTGAACCTTTTCTTTGGACTCTGATGCCCTGATGTGCTGGTTGGTTCCAGCCTATTGGGAATTCTCTTACCTGCTTCTCTCCACTGGGCTTCCTGTAGCTTAGCAGAAGCTCCACAGCGCCCACCACTTCCTTGCGGATGGCATAGAGCAGTGCATCGCCCACATACACACTGTGATTCAGCAGTAGCTCCATGATCTCCAAGTTCTCATTCTCAATGGCAATGAGCAGGGCACTCCTGCCCAAAGGATCCATGCAGTTGATGTTGACATTGTAGTAGATCTCGGCCTCCTGTAGTGCCTGCTTCACAGTGGCATAGTCTCCCTTCTCCACAGCATTAAGGAAGGCCTTCTCTTCAGCAGAGAGCTCAGTCTCAGCCCTCACGATTTGGAGGGGGATTCGGTCTCTGTATGGTGAGTAATTGACCTTCTTGTAGTACAGCTGGGCCATGGTTCATAGCAATTGAGAAAGCTAAGTGTGGAGAGAGAGAAAGAGGAAGATGAAAGATAGTTTTAGTTACCTGAAGGTTTCAAAGGGCCACTTATTAATCCCTTTAATGGGATTTTAAGATCCCAAAGTGTTTACATGATATCAATGTTTCCTTGTTGCCGAGAAGCAGAGCCACAAAAAAACCAGGCTTTGTCAGAAAGACTTGGGCTCAAACAGTCATTTAACACTTACCAGCTCTGTGATATTGGATAAGTTACTCAAACCTTCTACCACATTTGTTCCTAAGGTTATCTGTATTAACATTATTAGAAGTTATCTAGTGCTTACCAAGTCTCATGCTAGAGAATAACTCCTACCTTGAAAAGTTACTCTGATAGTTAAAGTAGTTACATATTACCACATCTCCTAAGACATAGCATAACTTGCACTGTCCTTTCCTTCCCTTCCACCTCTGAGAACATCCATGGTACTTCTGCTCAGTGGTGCTAAGTTGCTGTTCACTTAGGGCCAGTTTCTTTTGATCTCTGGAGTCTGTAGGTCCTTTTTGTAATCTAATTTTTAAGGTTACATTTGCCACTATTCCAGATGCACATTTCAGACTGAAATACTGTTTTAGGAGCTGGGAATACAGTTCAGTTAGTAGAATGCTTGTCTAGCATCCACAAAATCCTATGTTCGATCCTTAGCTCCACATGAGCTGGATGTGTGCATATCTGCGATCCCAAAACTCAGAGGGTAGAAGAAGGTGAATTAGAAGTTCAGGGCCATCCTTGGCCACATAGTGGGTTCAAGGCGGTCCTAGGATACATGACACCATGTATTTAAAAAAAGACAAAAAAAAGTATATATATATTGTTTAGTGTTAAGTGCAGCTCTGCTCCTTGATGATGGTCATTGCAGAAGTATTGACTTCAACAGACCAAAGCCATCTGGAAAAGAGTAAGCATGGACTCACTCTAAAGCCACCCCAAACTCTTTCTGCCACTTCTCCAAACTCTGAAGCTAACAGACTGGAGAATCAATTTGATTTAATTCCGAGAAATGAATGGTCTGTTTTGTTTGTGCCCAATCTAAGGTCAGATCACACTTAATAGAACTGATTGTAGAGTGAAACTAAATAGGTTTTCACTGAGCTCCTGCAATGTGTTTAAATTTTCTCTGGAAGACCAAGAAAATAAAGGCACCTTTGCCTGTAACCGCAGGGATTGAATCACAGGGTAGAGCTCTTGCTTTGCAATTTACAGATCAAATTCACTCACATTCCTCATTGACTACTTGTACTGTCTCTGTGAGGTGAGACTGATGATCCTGTTCAGGGGAGAAAATGAGATTAGATCTATTAGCTGATTGGCTGTTCTCCCCCCAAGGTCTCCAAGCCCCTCTGGAGTTAAGATGGCCTTATTTTAGTACTTTTCATTAAGGGACCGTTTCAGTAGAGGGAGGAAATGGAAGTGTGATAAAGAGCCCCTTGTCTCATCTCCTGGATGTAAGAGAAGGCATGAAACTTCCACAAACATTTACCTCACTCTTTCAGGTAATTACATCTCTGCTTTGGCAGGGTGAGAAGCATATATTATATCAAGTAGCATTTGCAATTCATATCCTTGTGATCTTCTGGGAAGTTAGCATTTGAAGATGACTGTTGGCTGCCTTTTGCCCTGAACAGGCCCAAATGATGAATTCTTTTTTTGTCTAGCTCTCAGAAGATCAGGTGCTGTTTGACTCCCTAGAGAAACTCTGCTGTGTCTTTCATGACTGTGCTGATTGGTTTTTGTCAACTAGATACAGATTCTAGTCACCTGGAGGGGGAGGGAGCCTTAATTGAGGACTGGTCTCTATCACGTTGGCTTGATTGCTGGTTAATGTAGGCTCACTGTGGGTGATGCCATCTCTAGGCAGTTGAGCCCAGACTGCATAAGAAAAGTAGCTGAACCCAGGCGGTGGTGGTGCACACCTTTAATCTCAGCACTCAGGAGGCAGAGGCAGGCAGATCTCTGTGAGTTCCAGGCCAGTCTGGTCTACAGAGTGAGTTCCAAGACAGCCAGGGCTACATAGAGAAACCCTGTCTAGAAAAAAAAGAAAAGAAAGAAAAAGAGAGAAAGAAAGGTAGGAAGAAAGGAAGGAAGGAAGGAAGGAAGAAAGAAAAGAAAGAAAGAAAGAAGGAAAGAAAGAAAGAAGGAAAAGTAGCTGAGCAAATCGTGGGGAGCAAGCCAGTAATCAGTTTCTTCCATGGTTCCTGCTTCTGCATCTGCTTGAGTTCCTGCCCTGACTGATGGACAGTGATCAGGAAGTGTAAGACAAATAAATCATTCTTCTCCAAGTTCTTTTTAATCATGGTGTTTATCACAGCAGAAAGAAAACGAACAACTACTTTCAAAGAATTTGCAGAGTCCGAAGGCACTTAGAGGAAGAAGCACTTGCCTCTATGTTGTCAACAGAAAGTGGGAGCGGAGAAGAGTGAGAGCCCCTGAAGAGAGACTCAAGAGCTCTCAGGCTTCTGTTACATCAACTTACTTGACTGAAACACACAGCACTTCCAGTGTGCCCAGGATTCTGATAATCACTGTGTGTGTGGGGGGGGGGGGAGGGGATGGTACCTGTACGGCTGCCACATGTTAGACTTCCTAATCAGCCTGATTCCATTCTTTCCCCCTCCACTTCTAGTCTGCCACTAATTTATTCTATGAAGCACAAGTCTCATTCCATTTTGCATATCTTTCATGATTTCTTGATGGAGCGTGTGTGTGTGTGTGTGTGTGTGTGTGTGTGTGTGTGTGTGTGTATGTGTGTGTGTGTGTGTGTGTGTGTGTGTGTACACGTGTGCATATGGAGGCCCAAGATTAATATCAGATGTGTCACTCTATGGCTGTACACCTTATCTTTTGAGACAGGATATCTCACTGAACTTTGAACTCACTAATTTGACAAGACTTTTCCCATCAGCCAGTTCCAGGGATCCTCTTGTCTTTGCCTCCGGAGTGCTGGGATTATACACGTGGATTCTCATGCTCAGCTTTTTTTAAGTGGGTGCCTGGGGATCTCAACTCAGGTGCCCACGCTTGTATGGCAAGCACTTTACTTTCTGAGCCATCTCCCCAGCCCCTCCTGCTAGTCTTGTAATGGAATCAACACTCTTTATAAGGCCTGCAGAGTCTTGGCTCTTGTTTACTTTTTCGACTGCTTCTTAAGCTATCCATCCTATCACCAATGTTTAACCTCACGATGATTCTTTTGATTCTTCTGTGATTCCAAGATTTTTCCAATCTCAAGACCTTTGATCCCAAATTCAACCTTTTTTTTTTTTTACCATCTCTATCTTTTAGTTCCCCCAGAGCTGCCCTTTAATCCTCTTTAAATTAGTCCCTTTACAGTCTTCTCTCTAGGGGCCTGTCTTCTTCCTCTGTAATTCTTACCAAAATTTCTACTCATTTGTCTTATCAGTTAATTGTTCCTTCCAAATAGCCTTAAAGCTCAAGAGCAAGAATAGTACCAGGTCCTGTTTTTCTGGCGCCCACTCCCTATCCATTGACTGGCACAACCTGGCCATTAGATCGATACTCAATGAGTAAATGAGCCAACCTTATAGGTTGTTTCCTTATCTCTTTCCATCCCATCTCGAGTTCTAGCCATGTTGAATTGTGTTCTGAACTTGTCCTTTTCTGATGAGTTCTTTGCACTGGGCATTACCCCATTCTCTCCACTTAGCCAACTTCTCCTCATGTTTCAATACCTTCTCAATCATTAGTTCTGTTCTCTGCAAAACTTTTGCCCAGTGCCTGCAGGAATTCAGCCAGTTTTCCCATTCTACTGGTACGTCGATCACATTTCTTCAGTGATGCTGACTGCATATTTGTCTTCCTACAACTAGGGTAGCAGAGCTTAGATATCTGTATCCCCAGCACTCACACAGGTCTAGAATATGGCAGGTAGTGGTTATAGGCATTTAAGGAACAAAACCAATTGGCTGTTAGCAGAGTTAAGAACTAAGTAGGTGGCACTAATTTAATGCTTTGTGATCTCAGCAAGGATTGGAGGCCTCAGAAAAGGTTTCATGGAGCAACTCTCAAGCTAATCTTCAGAGGATAAATTAAATATACAAATGTGAAGGCCATTCTGCTCCAGAGAAGGGAAGACTGTAAGTGATGAGACTGATCAAGGCTTGGCTGAAAGATTGTTGGGGAGAGCAGGGAGGGCTATTTTTCAAGCTGCAGCAAGATACATGAATTAGAGGTGTAGTTCATAACCTCAGTTTTCCCAACTGAGTAATGACATTAAACATTTTCCACTTGCCTCTTAAGAGGCCACAATAGAAGGAAAGGCTGGGTAAGCATTTTTGGGAGCTCTGTGACCATCTCGCCAAGGTACCACTGTGGAGGAAACAGAAGATACATGTATCCTAGGCAAAAATGAAAACGAAGGAAAAAAAAACCGCATTCAGTTCCCTATTATGTGCCAGGCATTATGCTGGAAGCTGGGGCAATAAAGATATAAAAATAATTATTATAGTTTTGAATAGTTAATGTTTCCTGGGCACTGTGCCAGGTGCTGGGGCTGCACCATCACTAACGATAGTGCTTCTAATAGTAATGAATGCAGCAAGCAGTGTCATTCATTACATTCTTACTATGTGCCAGATGCTAGGTACGTGGGTTAAAAATCATAAAGGAAGATGACACTAAACTCATGAAAATTTGAGGCTTGAAGCAAGCATAATTGGATGATACATAGTCAAACTATAGTCTGGCTTTACGTTTTGTCTGTTACATTTGAACTAATCTGCTGTTTTATCTGCAGTAAGCTGCATTAGGAGAGCCCTCATAGAATCCTTATGTTGAAAAACTTGCCTCCAGAGTTTTGCTTGAGATTATGATATCACAGAATGATTCTTTTGCATTAAGCCGAAGGGGCAGGCCTCCCATGGTTATCAACAAAGCATGACATATCAAATTGCAGTATGACCAAGCACCTCCCCTTGTATTAAGGCTGGGGAAGGCAATCCAGTGTGAGGAATAGGTTCCCAA